GAACTCAAGATATGTCCACTGAAAAGAGGGGTGGGGGATAATTCACACATCTTAAAATTCTCTATTTCAAAGTGTATGTTTCAGTGACCTCGGCACAATCACAATGAGGTGCAGTCTTCAACACAATTCCAAAATGCTTAAATTACCCTACCCCTCCCCCCAGCAAAACCCCCAATAACAGTCACTCCCTGTGTTCTCTTGCCCCAATACCAACCACTAACATGCTTCCAGTTTTTCTGGGTTTGCCAGAAGTGTACGTGTATTGGTCAGGGTCTCGGTAGGTAGCTCTGGCTTTGAATTCGCTATTTAGTGGAGTGGTCCCTGAAGCCATCTCTTCAGCCTACTTTCTCCATCTTGTTTTCGAGATTCTCATGTTTCATTGTGTCAGGACTTTATTCCCTTGTATAGATCATATGCTATTGTGTGTGTGCACCAAATTTGATTTACCCATTCAGAGTTATATTTGGGTTGCTTCACCCTTAAACGTCCTAAAGACAGGAAAGTAACAATGTGAACAACTTTTCATATGCAAACCATCGTCTTTTCACACCGTCTTTCTCATTTCAGGTTCAGGTTGAAGCGGGACACCTCTGAATGCCAGAAGTGTCCCATACTCTCCTTACACCGCTAGTCTGCGCTAGTTTCTGCTAGAAAAGTCCCGGGTGCACATGCGCACATTCGTAGAGCGGGAGGAGGGGGGTGTGTCCCTCCCCGCCCACTAACCCGCGGACTCTTCCGACACTCTCGCCCGGTCGGGGAAATGCAACCAATCCACGAGTGTGTCCGGGGAGCGGCGCTCCGCAGTGGTTGATGAAGTCTGATGACGTACAACGCCCTCCAATCGCCACGCGGAGGGCTGGGCTAGCGTCAGCTGGTGGAACCACATGACCCGAGCCTGGTTCCGGAAGCTACCTATCCGGTAGACAGCTCCCCCGGCACCTACGGCTGCGATGGTGAGTGAGGACGCATGCGCGGGCGTGCACGCCTATTTTTCCGCGTCCCCGTTCCCCAAGCTTCAGTTACCCCCCCTATGGCCTGTACTCGGCTCCTACCTTCATTCCACCCTGGAAACGAGAGGGAACGGAGATGGGAGGGAGGCGACAGGGAGGGCTGGAGAAGACTCTGCTACCAGGTGTTCTGCGGCTGGGGAATAGTCTAGATGGCACAAGGGGCGGGGCACAAGGGGACTGGAGTGAGAAGGGCTGCGAGGAGGGGATAAGAAGATCTCCAGGGTCGTCTACACAAATGGATGAGCTCGGAGGTCCAGTAGTGACCGCAGATAGAGACTCCGTCTTACAAGCCAGTTAGAGGGTCTGGAAGGGCCAATTCAGGAGAAAGATGGGTCTGCAAGGCTGTCATGCTTCTCACTCCTTGCCTCTTTACCCACTAGACTTCCGCACTGACCCAGGGGCTGGAGCGAATCCCAGACCAGCTTGGCTACCTGGTACTGAGCGAAGGTGCAGTGCTGGCGGTGCGTTGTGGGAAAGTGAGGCGTGCGAGCAGGGCGTGGGCGGGACTGAGTGTGTATGTTTGTGTTGCGGAGGGGGGGGGTCCTTTTGGAATACACGACCCAGAAGTACCATCAAATATTGCCCAGTTTCTCCCAGTTGTCTATTTTTTGTTCTCTGTTTGGCTCCCGGCTTGCCATATAGTGAGCTTTTAGTAATTAACGTCTGGAATCCAAGTCTTTTGTTTTATGGTATAAAAGAGGTTTGTATCCAAAGGCCTGGGGCTGTAGCTCAGTTCAGAGAGTTAATTTGCTTAGCACACACAAACCCTTGGGTTCAATCCTCAGTACTGCATAAACCAGGTGGGACATATCCTGTCACCTCAGCATTTGGAAGGAGAAGTTCAGGGTCATCCTTGGCTACGTAGTGAATTTATCCCAGCCTGGACTACATGTAACCTTGCCTCAAAAAGAAAAAAAAAAAAGGAAAAAAGTTTACCAACTTTCTAAAGTCATACAATCAGTTTGATGACAGCTAATCACTTTTAGTGTGTTTTTATTTGGTATAGCTTTAAAACTCACATGGGGGTGCATATAGGTGCCAAGCAATTTTATGTTTGAACTATCTCACCTGCACCTAGATCGCAAGACTTCTTTAGAGGCAGGAATGAGCTGAGCTGCAAGGGCAGGAGGCTGGGAATGAGGAAAAAACACTCAGGGCTGGGAGCAGGACTTAACTGCCTGAGTGTGTCAGTGCCTGTCTGAGTTAGTTGTGGGTTTGTGTTGAAACGGTTTGAGCAGGAAGGATGATGTGGTAAGAATCTGATAGCGCAGGACTTCCTATGGCTAGCCTCGACCTCTTTGGAGGAATCTTTAGGGTTCTTTAAAACACAAACATGGCTCACTGAAATGGTTTAACATGACTGTTACAGGAGTGTCATCTAGCTAGGAAACTACGTATCTATTTTCTAGGCCCCCCCCCTAGGAGAACCAGGTATGGTGGTGGAACACCTTTTTTTTTAACATTTTATTTATTTTATGTATATAAGTGCTTTATCTGCATGATGCCTTTCTTCCAGAAGAGGGTATCAGGTTGCACTGTAGATGGCTGTGAGCCACCATGCGGTTGCTGGGAATTGAACTCAGGACCTCTGGCAGAGCAGCCAATGCTCTTAACTACTGAGCCATCTCTTCAATTGTATCTATATTTTAGTGTGCCTGCACGTGTGTGTACAGGTACGTGTGCCCATGCACATGCTGAGGCCAGTGCAGGACAATAGAGTCCTGCTCTTAGCTCTCTCTGCCTTATTTCTTGGGCCAGGGTCTCACTGAACCTGGAGCTAGACTTGCAAGCCCTGAGTAAGCCCCAGCAGTCCACCTGTCTGTGCCCGCTACAGTGCTGGGGTTGCAAGTGTGGCCATGCCTGGCTGGGGATTTGAACTCAGGTCCTTTTGCTCGTATAGCAAGCACTCTTATTCACTAAGCCATCTCCAGAACTCAGTGGTGTTAGAGGTGTTCTATATGTTGGCACTAACTAGATAAAAGTACTTCTGCATCTATATTACCTTTCTGAAGTACTCATCCAGTAGGGCTTTAAACTGGGAAAACCAGAAAAATACTATGGTGCCTGAACAAATAACTCAAGAAAGGAAGCGGACCAAGGAAGTGGCTAAGAATTTTGATGGCCTGACTGTAGATACTGAGTTTGAGGTGTACTGATAACAGATATATAGAACATTTATTATGCAGGTACATAGTGCTCTCATTTCCTCACGAAACCTTCACAAGCCCATAAAATAGGTCCTGCTGACCCCAACGTACAAATAGAGAAATAGAGCAAAAGGAACTAAGCCTAGTAATATAGGCCCACTTAGAAGCAGTGGAGAGAGGAAGTTAAGACAGTCTGTACTACTGTTCAGAGGAAGTCTGGACTACTGTCCTAGCCAGAGGGAAAGCTTCAAAGATGTGGGTGTTTCTGCTTCATAGCCTACAGACAGGACAAGTGGGAAGACTGGGAACAGGTGGAACCTTTAAAGACTAAGCAGTTAGCTCAGTGGTAGAACATCTGCCAGGAATCCTAGGTGAAGAGCTGGGGTGTGGCTCAGTGGTAGAGCCCCTGCCTAGAATCCCCCAGTGAGGGGCTGGGGTGTGGCTTGGTGGTAGAGCCCCTGCCTAGAATCCCCCAATGAGGGGCTGGGGATGTGGCAGATCATTTGATAAACACACTCGAGGTTTTGATCGTCAGCTTGGATATCAGTAGAGTTGCAAATAAAGCCTGGTATTTCAGGATGAGAAACAGGATGGTACAAGGGACGGCAACACCATCATAAAGAAGCTTTAGGTAGAATTTTTCCAATGCTAGGCAACTTGAGACTATGGAAGACCACAAGTATGGGACCTAGAGATCTGTGTCTTGAATTTGTTCCTAACTCTGGGCTCTCACTTTTTGCTCCTACTCTCCTCCATCCACATGCAGTCGTCTGGGGACCTTGAGAATGATGAGCAGGCAGCCAGCACCATCTCAGAACTGGTCAGCACAGCCTGTGGCTTCCGGCTGCACCATGGCACGAACGTCCCTTTCAAGCGCCTGTCTGGTGAGCTCCTGCCTTTGGTGGTGGTGTTTTCTTCTGGAGGCTTCTCTGCTTAGGGAAGGAGTATCTGGCTCCATTCCATTGACTCCCCATTCCTCCTGGGGTTCCTGGTTCAACTCCTGCCTTCAGTTTGAGATCTCTCTAGCATGAGAACCGAGTAATAAGGACGAGAGGTTTTCATAGCCGCCTCTCCTTTGTCTCATCCCAGCCAGTTTTGCTGTGACCTCATGGAGGCCTCTACACTCACTAACTGTGCTCCCTTCCCTTTCCAGTGGTCTTTGGTGAACACACGCTGCTGGTGACCGTGTCCGGACAGAGGGTGTTTGTGGTAAAGAGGCAGAACCGCGGTCGGGAACCTATTGACGTCTGAGCTGCAGAAGGCTCTGGCTGGACTGTGGACTGCTGCTGAGGCCTGTGACGGGGGACACTGTCCTCTGTCTTTCTCACTGCTGGAACTGGGCCTGTGCTCACCACACCCCCATCCAAGTCACAACGGCTTAGTGATTTCTGCGCTAAGGGAAACTGGCAAAAAGATCCCCTTTTCTGCCTTCTGCATAATAAACAGCAAGGCAACCCTTCTTAGTGCTCACAATAATGTGCATAGAATGGTTTGTCTGGGTGGGGGTGGGGCTGAGGCCATGGCACCTGGCGCCTGTCTTCGACCTTCTAGGGAGATAGCCATACCTCAGTCCATCAGTGGGACAAGATCACCTCCAGGCATCACAGAACTGGTAAATTGAGACAGGTATGATGGTGCACATCTATAATCCCAGCACTTGAAAGGCAAGTCAGGAGATCAAGTTCAGACAGCCTGGGCTGCTGCATACTGGTTTCAGGCCAGTCTAGGGTGTTCCAAAAAACCAAAGTAAAACTAGGAATCGGAGACTCATGGACAGGAAGGCAGCTGTCTGTACACTAAAGGCGATCTCCCCTGTGGCTGACACACAGACAAGACTCAAGACTCCCTCCTGAATAGCTTTTAATAGTTTACTTCAGTTGGAGACGGAGTCAGAGAATAAGTTACAGGAACAGACGAAAAAAAAAAAACACAAAACAAGAAAACAGAACTTAAAGTGCTTCAGGCTGCCAACGTAAACATGAGGGGCAGAAAGAGGCCACCTAGCTATGTCCCCAACCCCTGAGACAGGAGAGTCATTGTCATTGTTGGGGTCCCTTTACCACTACCACCCTCTAATCTCAGCCCTGCGGGTGGGTGGAAGGGAATTTCAGAGGCAGAGAGGATTGAACAGGAAGGAGAATACTCTGTAAACTCGGGACAAAGTGAAGGGCTGGGGCAAGGGAGCGCCTGCAGCCCTTGCCCTGCTGGGGTGGGGCCAGCCCCCCCCATGAGAACTTGGGGAATACTGTTGGCTGAGCTGCAGCCATGCTGCCCATTTCACAGCTTCTGCCCTTATCCCTCACCAGCAGACACAGACAGACAGCCCTGCAGGGCCTCTCTGCCTACAGGGGGAGGCGCAGCCTAGGAACAAGGAGCCCTCCGGGGGCTTAGGGTTTCTGGAGTGTCCAGAGCTGAGTGAGCAGATTGGTGCTACTTGACGGGCTCCACCACCAGGACTTTACACTCGCGCTTGGCAATCTTGTCTAGAGAAAGCACAGCCTTGTCCGGGGGCAGGTAGAGGGGACGACCGACGGGGGAGGCCACAGGGGGTGTGATGGCCCTGCGCTCCATCACGCTGCCAGACCTAGGAGAAGACAGGGGCTGTGGGCTCTGTGAGGGTGCAGCATCCCCACCCCATCCCTCTGGCATCCTGTTCCTAGACTCTCAACTCCCCTCCTGGTCACATTGACAGCCACCCAGGTCCCTTACCTCATGAGGTGACTACGGGAAGGCTGCTGGTGGGAGAAGGACTGAGAGCGGCCTAGGCTGGCCTGGTGTCTTTCCACCAGGTCGCGGACGGCAGGGCTGCTGGGGCTGCTCTTGCGGGACAGGGGCCGGGCCTCAGGCGGAGGGTGGGACACACTGGCAGTGAACTGCAGCTTCAGTTTCATGTGCTGGCTCAGCTGGGTAGGAAGATGCAGACCTTCACACAGACCCAGGTTGGACTGGGCCTCCAGCTTCCCTGTGCCCAGCCTTCTAGGCTCCCTAAGGCATTTCCCCTCTAGAAGCTAGGAAGCCCTGACTGTTCCACCCAACTCTGGGCCCACCTCAAAGAGCCCCGTCCTCAGAGCCTGGAAGGCCACACTGAAGGTAAGCGCGCTGCCCTTCCGGGAGAAGCCAAGGTTATTGAGGGGTGTGTGGCAGACAATGGAGTCCAGGGCTGCTTGCATGGCCCGGCGCTCCTCTTCACACAGCTGCTTTCCTGGGGACAGAAACAGGTACCCGTCAACACCAGACACCTTTCCTCAGCCCCCACAGGTCTTTACCAGCATGGGGGTGTTTAATTCGCAAGGTGCTCTGTGGGGTACACTGAGTAAATGTTATCTTTTGCTGAGGGTTATAGACAGCGATGGTTAATGCCATGTGCCGAGGTCTGTTCTTATCAGTATCGTGCACTAACTCATTAATACGCGTAACAAGCCATGAGATGTTATTTACAGTTTTAGAGAGGATAGAAGCCCAGAGATGCAGTAACTTACCAAGGTCACACAGCTAGTAAATGAGTGGGGTAGAATCTGTACCAGAACGCACAGACCCAATGTCTCTGCCCACTACCTATCTTAACTCCCCATCTGTGACCCTGGATGACTAGCCAAGTGCTCAGCAGAGCCATCCGGCTGCTGCAGGCACCCACTGAGGTAGGGCTGACACCACTCTGAGCTCTTCTCACTATCCTACCTCTTCCTTTCCCTGTCCCTCCCAGGGGACGAGGTCTCAGCCTGGTAGGGGACCCACCAGCCTGTGCGTGTTCCGGGGTCCACACAAGCCTCACAGCAAGGAAGTCTTGGAGGTTGTTGAGCAGCGTGTAGGTGACAGTGAAACGCTCGTAGGTCCGAACAGGGGATTCACAAGAAGCGGTCATCACAAAGCAGGGGCGGTCTAGGCGGACACTGGGCAGGCTAGGAGCAGTGGAAGAGGAAGCTGGGTGTATGTGTTAGGCAGAGATGAGCAGGAGAAGTGCCTGGTGGGTCTCCCACATACTTACCGGTAGTGGGTGTAGATGCTCTGGGTGAAGGGCAGTTTTGGGGTGGACCACTGAACCACGGCAATCAAGGGGACTTCAAGACCCTGCAGAGAGGACAAAGGGAGACTTCCCATGTTCAGAGTTTTCATCTCTTAAGCCCACATCTTTCCCTTCAGTTGTCTTTCCTTTGAGACAGGTCTCAGCCTAGACTCTCAGCCTATATCTCCTTACTTAGCTGGGGATGACCTTGAACTTCTGATTCTCCTGCTGTCTCCAGAATGCTAGAATCCCAGGCCCCAGGCGCATGCCACTACTGATTTATGCAATGCTGAGGGCAGAACCCAGGGTCCTGTGCTTGGTAGGCAAGCCCTCTACCAACTGAACTGTATTTCCGGTTCCCGCTGTTCTCATCACTTATGTGAACACACCAGCTCACCTCCTTGGCCCCAGGAGGGGGCTGCTCACCCCCTCTCAGCTGAAACAGGAAGTTGTGTTCCTCCAGGGCACTAAGAGGACAAGGGAAGTAGCCAGAGGTACCAGGAAGCCGACAGAAGGAGCCCATGGAGACTTCCCCAGACTGGTGACTAGTACAGAAGAAAGGAAGGCAGTGAATAGCTTGCCATGTCCCATCTCTGCCCCACCACTCAACAGCCCCGCCCCTCCCCAGGACCTCACCAGACATTGTCCACCAGCAGTACAGAGCCATCAGGCATGACAGGTAGATAACTGGCATTGAAGTTGGGGAGGATTCGGATATCCCAGATGGAGATCTCCTCCTGGGAAGAGCTGTTCAGCACTGTGTGGGGAAGCCAGCCAAGTTCAGAGAAGTGAGACACCCCCCTCCCTTACTCCCAGCCCTACCTTTACCAGCATTATGGACCCATCACTGCCCTCCAGTCCACTCCCATGGACTATTCAAGCTTTGAGCCAAAAGATTTGCTCACCCTTGAGCACAGTCAAGTGTTTTCCAGCCACAGTGAACTGCCGGCATTTCAGAACTGGAGGGGGAAGCAGCGTCAGCAGGGTGCTCACTGCAGAGAGGGGATGAGGCAAGAAATCAGACCTCTGCTTCTCAGTTCTTCCCTGCCACCCTCCAATCTACCCCTCTTCCGGGTTCCAGCTTTTCCCTTCTCCCCCACCTTGGGCCTTGAAGGCGCTCTGTTCTCCACGGAAAGTCTCCCCAGGAGATCGAGTTTGTAGCAAGCGCAGATAGCCTTGATCTCTGACTTCCGGTGCCTCGACCTCGCGCTTCCACACGGTCACTACAATCTAGATACAGGAGGCACCGGACCATAATCAGGACTGACGAGTGGGTCTTGAAACGTCATCTGAATTATAGGGCAACAGCTCCAGCTTTGTCATCCTACCTTGGCCTTGGGTGTCCCTGGGGGCAGTCTATCCAGTGAAACAGTGAGTGGGAAAATGACCTCATCTGTGGACACGATCGGCTCTTCCACAGGCAGCTGGGGATTGTAAAGGGGTGAAGAAGTCAGGAGGGTATCAAAGACGCAGGATCCTTCAACCTCTCTGCAAGACAGGGCAGTCTTTATGCCCTCCCCTCGCTGTCATCTGCCTCCTGTCTTAGGTCCCTCTGCAAGGCAGAACAATGCTGTCATCTGCCTCCTGCGTCAAGTCCCCAAAGAGTCCATGCCCCAAACTGCCTCTGTTGTCCCCAACGAACTTCCCCACTCCCCTTGTCACCCAGAGATCCTCACCGTGGTCGCTCCCCCTGAGGTAGCAGGGCCCGGGCCGTGGGTGAGAAGGGGG